CACCTGACGGCAGTCTATGCTATCAACTCTCTGTTCTGGAGTAAGTACCTTCAGCTTGATAGTACAACACCATCTTAAGAGGTCATGACCACTGTCATTCTACATTGATAGGAATCTTTCAGAAAGAGGTCTTTAGTACATGTTGATGATCGATCAAATGCCTTATTTAGTTACTTAACAACTGCAAGCTGAATTCCACTTGAACTTGTATCTACATCTCATCAGTTAAATAGCTGCTACATTTAAATCTTCACTGTTAAGTTTTTATTCAATCAATCATTTTATTCAATAGTTATATCAATCAGAATGCACCATTTAAATATGTGTTCTCAGTGTGTACATGTCTGGGTAACACACTTTTCTCTTTCACAGTTTACCTAACCACACAAGGCATTGACCCCAAGGACCACCCAATCAAGAGTGAACTGGTAAGTAGGACAATGGACACCTGTCAATCAAACTGCCAGGCGTCTCTTTACATTGTGTAGATTATACAAAGAACCGGAATGGTTGAGAGTTCATAGAGTTGTCGAATTGTCAGACTGCAATGGATAATCACACAAATCTCTTCAAATGATTAGTAAAAACATCTAATATCTCCATGTCACTTCTATTGTTGTCTTGTCACCTTTCAGGACAGAATACGCAGCTACATGAACCGTGTCAAGGAGATAGAGGACAAGAGGAAAGGTGAAAATCATGTACATGTTACTTGACATTGTATAATTTCTTAGTTCTAGTTTGCACGATTAATGAGAACATCCATAGTGGTAGATGATACAAGGTGTAACTTGTTTTTCCATGTGGTTTGTGACTATTCCAGCTGCTAAAGTGGACAAGGCTGCTGCTAAGAGAATTGTGAAGAATGCTCTCTGGGAGCCATCCAAGCAGGCAGCAGGTAACATATATACATGTACAGTGTATCTACACCTCGTCTCTCCTGTATCATCAACTTGTTAGTGAAACAGAAGTGTAAGAATTGATGTTCAGTAATGTATGATGATGATATTTGTCCATAGTTGTGTCTGATCAGTCCTTTTTTCAAATTAATTTTTTTGTTGTTTTTCATAAAAAAGATTTTAAAAAATACAGTCCTTGCTCAGAATCACATGAATTGAAATGCTGGGAATGTTTTTGTGTCTTCCAGGGTCACAGGTCAAGCAAACATCAGAGAAGAGGAAACAAGATGACAGAGTTGGACCTCAGGCTAAGAAGAAAAAGGAGTGAGCACAAACAAAGACTGACATGAACATGAAATAAGACAGAAGATGGAAGGCTGGTGCAACTGAGACTCTCAGTTCAGTGTGAGGTGGTCCATGAGCCTCCAACCATAAAGTACTCTCCAAGCAGACGTTTGGGTTTGGGGTTATTTTTGGTGTGTTTTAGGCTTTTTTATCAGGTTTCTCTTTTGCACTGGAATTTTTTTAATCACCCAACCCAACCAAACACGCCAAAAATAACCCCAAACCCAAACCTCTGCTTGGAGAGTAACCATAAAGCACAAAAGAGTGAGGACAGAGATTTCCAGTGCAGTCTTACTTTTTAATACGCCCGGGAATCAATACAGCATGTATATTTTTACAATTCCATCCATGTATTAACATTACTAGTATTACGCTACCAATTTTTCCACTGATTACTATAGTGTTGGAAGTTCTAGGAACCACACATTTGCATGGAGATAACCTACAATCACAGGCAACAATGTTCATATCATGTCTAATTATGTATGTTGTATTACAGTATTTATGGCATCTAATTAAACCATTTTCAAAAAGTTTATTAAAGACTAGTATTATTTCATACTGCATAATGTTGGTCCTAGATCAGAAATTATTTCTTTACCACTGATACATTGTAATTATAGTTAATATCACTAACATTACATCTATATACACTCATAATTGATGTCAAACCTTTTTATGAAATAATATGCATCTACATTTCAACCTTTGTTGTCACTAGATGACCATACCTGTTGGCTGCAGCATTACCGACCGACAATTATGCTAAAAATATATACCACACACTTGGTAAAAGTAGAGGGAAGCATGTTATTCCAATTGACTTTAAAATATTTTTCGTAAAAATATTTTTCGTAAAAATATAAGTACATGTATATAAGTTCAGCAACAACTTGAGTTTCAAACTGCCAGTTTTTCACCCAAGGAGGGTTGGTGCATCCCACAGTGGATTCACCCTTTCCCCGCACCACAGCTACCTAACATATAATATGTAATCTCCAAGCAGATGTTTCAGTGGCCGCAAAATACAGTATCAAAGTGGCCAGGCTGTATCTATTCGCCAGACAGTTACCATTTCATTTGTCACCCAAATACATATGCACATGTGATGTTCAGTAGTCTTACGTGAAGCACAATTTAGTAGGACTTCTCGTCCTTTCTCTGTTGTTGATCCTCCCTGGCTTGACGGGGCTCGGTGTGTACATCTGCTGGATGTCATCCCACGATAGGAAATTCCTGTCCATCCAGGGAACCAGAGTAGCAGCCCGGGCCTTTATCACGCCCACCAGGGCCAGCGTGTCGTCCTCGGCGGTGTGCGCGCGCCTGGGGTCCCGGCTAACGTACCGATGGTACAGACTCTCCAGGCTGAGGGAGACCCGTTCGGACGGCGCGTCTCCAGTCGAACAGTCCCTGTCCGCTTCCCTGAAGGCCAAGAGTGAGTCACAGAAGCGGACTCCTTCGGGAAGTCTCGTGTTGAGTTTCATCAGCTCGGTCTTCAGCAAGGGGAAGTCGAACTTGGCTCCGTTGTGCGCCACCAGACCGACCGGTGGAGGCTGCCGCTGCAAGAAGCCGCTCAAGGCCGCCACAAAGTTCGCGTCCAGCACGGCCCTCTCGTTCTCGGTCAAGTTCTCGTTGTTGAGGCCGGTGAGTTCGCAGACGGGGCCGGGGATGGGTTTGTTGGGGTATACGGCCAGCAGGAGCTTGTCCGTGACGCGCGGGAGGCGGGTGTCAGGGTTCAGGACGGCCGAGCGGTGTAAGGCCACCAGGCAAAGCTCCGTGATCTTTGGACGGGCCGACACCTCGCACGACGTCGCCTCAAGGTCAAGGAACACGAACGACCTGATTGGATCCATATGGCGGAAATCGGCCAGGATGACTGTCAGGATAATTTTGTTAGTTGGATGAACACGAGTGCTTCCCCCACGCCAACAAGCCGGGCAAGTCTGGGCTTGTTGTGGTAGGGAACCACGGTGACGTCATAGGGAAGCGAGACTTCCGGGTTCCCCCTTCCCAGCATGCTCTCGGGATAACATCTAACCACCTTCCTTACATGTTACAAGTCAGCCTTACATGTTACAAGAACAGGACAATAAATGCACACAGAAGGGCAAATGTCGTCATCCCAACACCGCTTTTATTATTTCTTCTTTCTAAACCAACCGTCTAAATATAATTAGCCTAATGGTTAACATCCCCCAGTATTGCGAAGTTCAGGACAAAGTCTGTACAAAAATAACCTACACTGTGAAAAGACAGCATAGATATTTCTAGGTGTAAAGTCCATATTACAACATTCACAAATCCTTAAAAAGTTGTGTTACAAAATTTCATTATATTCCTAACAATCCTAAGATACAAAATATTTCACAAATCCCTAATACAAATGCTACAGGTCAATTCTAGTGACCATAACCAGAGGAACACCTGAGTTAATAAGGCTCTCAGAGGACAATAAAAAGAAGTAACAACATGTAAGACAATAAAAATTCAACAATGAAATTCTGGCCTAAGGTGCCAAAAGAATTCAATAAAGCAACAATATTTTGCACCAAAGCAGTGGGTAACATTGCCTCACTTTTGACCCTTTCCATGGGGACAGTTACATCACTTCACTGCCATCAAATACAAGAGATCACAGTCCAATATAACAATGTGTGGCTATGAATGACAAGCATAAAAGTAATTGTCCATCCTTGCTTATAAAAAAAAGAAACCAATATATTGGGCAAAACTGTAATGACACAAATTAATCATTAGTTCAATTTTCTCAGAATCTAGATTCAAATTGTAATGTTTTGTAAAAACAACTTATGTATCACCTTTCCATTACACAAGACAACAGATATGCAATCCTTCAAATTTCTGCAAGGCACTCTGAGAAACAACTGAATTTGTGTGACTGTGGACAGGACATGTCAGTCAGCTGTTCACTTTACACAACTTATGTAAAAATGGCAGATGTTCCTTTCCCTGGTGAAATTTATGTTTGAAATGACACTGAAATTCTTAGCCTTTTGTTAGGTTTTAAACTCTTTGCTAAAGGTACAGCCAAGTTTCATATTCATTAGAGTATGGTCCCCCTCTAAGTCATGATGTCATTGTGTCATGGGTTTATGTAGCTAAAGAGATGTTTACCTCTAAAGTTAAGTAGATTTTGCAAATGTCACAAGTTTTTTCTAGCTATAAAGCAACCAGAATTTCTTCACCACAGTCCACACCTGGGACTACAAAATCAGCAATTCATTCAGAATGACACAATGTCAGTGTTTGTACCTTTTTGCTCATTTCACACATAATATATAAAACATGTTACCACTATCTGTAAAAGTATGTAACAGAATAACTATTCTCCAACAAAATACAATGTTACAGACATGTTACTGTTATAAATTCCCCACAATAAGTATCAATCCTTTCACCTACCAGTATATCATCTACATATCATCATAAATACAATATGTACAAAACCAATTCTTCCATAAATATCTACCTTACTGCAGCTTTAAAAGTGTCGAAGTTATTTCCCTATAGCGTGGTCCCTGCACCGATACAGTAATACATGTACTCACACAACTGTCATGGCAGCCTTGTCAAGGGTTATCAGACTTAGAGGGTTAAAACACAATAAAATCCCGCATTTGAACACTGCACACTGTTCACTGGCATTTCAGTATCTCTGCATTTATGTACATGTACTACACAGATAACCATGGCTAAGTTCAAGGCAGAACAGCTGAAATCAGCACAAATCATGGTAAATGGAATTTCGGGTAACTGCGCTTCTACCTGTACTGGTAACAGAGGTGTACATGTATTTGCCACACCTGTATTTGCCACACCTATATTTCAGGTGTATGCACCTGTCACATCTATGGCCGTGTTTAAATGAAGTCACCCAAGGCGCTTTACATGTGGTTTACCCCGAAGCCGGTTAGCTTCATCTGAACGCTCCGTAATCACTTTGAAAGCGCCTCGATCCCAAGCCACTTCTTAAGGTGGTTTCGAATCAGTTTTCCCGCATCGCGATTTGCGTCTGAACGCAATGTGATTTCAATGTAACTTTGCCTGGTCATTGGATTACGGGTTGTATATTTCTTCTATTTATATGCAATACCAACTTTTACGTGGCAGCAACTTAAAGAGCATAATGGTCAAATAATGTGTCCGTTGTAGGGCGAGCTTCAGCACCTTTGGCGGGACTACGTGGACATTCGGCCGAGATACGCTGGGAGGGGGGCACCAGAAAGGAGGTCGTTGACCTCTGACATTAATAACACGCCCGAATCGCGGTTTGGGTGACTTCACTTAAACATGGCCTATATCTCAGGTGTTCACCACAAGTGACAGACACTGTACAGTAAAGTGGAAGACATATCAAATTACTACAATACATTTGGCCCATGAATTGTGTTTTTTCCTCAGTATGAGTTAAAAAGACCCCTATCTAAACCTACATTTGCTGATTGTTAACTGTGCATTGTGGTTATCCTTCTCTAGTTCATTTCCATATCATTACAACACAGCTTAGCCTGTGCTAGTTATCTAACCTGTTCTAGTTATTGCATAGTTAGTGTGAAGGCACTTGTGTGAGAATCACTTGTACATACAAGTACATCTACTCTTTGTACTGTACAGGGGTAGCTTGCATGTGCATGCAAGTACATGTTCCTAAGACTGTGTATTTCTTTATCCTAGGCACTTAACATCATACAAGGCAAGTACAGTGGTGATTTATTGCTGGACAGGCATTCTTGCTTGCCATGTCCTGTAGCAGGGACTGGCCTCAGAAGAAGGCACAAGTTGGGAACTTTTGCATTGCTTTGTCCATGCCATTTGGGGTTCCTTGCAGTTCTATGCAGTTCTCATGATGCCCCTCCTACAGATAAAGAATGGAGCAGCACTTTGAATAGACAACCCTAAAATATTGTTACTGGTCAATTAAGCTTCTCCCTGCCAAGGGTTCACCTGTACTCCACATCAGCATGGCTTTATGTCAACAGAAGGTAGGTATGGTTTATGGTGTAGTACATTAAATATCTAGTTTGCATATCAGTGAGAAAACCTCCACCCAACCACCCCGCCCCTCTACTGCTCGGTCTATGTCTGCCCTGTGTTTCCTCCACACTCCTCCACAGACTGCCCTGGGCTGTAGAACTCCACAGCAGACCTCACCGTCTCCCTGAGATGTCAGTCTGTACTCAGGCTACAGCAGGATCACTTCCTGCCAGGGGCACAGAGGAAAGGCACCAGTTAGATCCCTCAGATCAGAAATGGCAAGATATTGAGATATTACAAAAACACTCTATAGTTTGTTTGCTTCCATCGTCATAATATTGACAACATGCAGAATGTCATTTCATGGACAAATCCAAAGTTCAAGAGAATCCTAGCAACATGAAGTTTTTAGGTTGTGGTAGACCTGTGAGGTGATTAGTGAATGTACACCGTGGAGAATGTCTGTTTACAGGGTGGTTAGATGGAGATTTTGATAACTCTTTCTAGACCAGCCTTGGTAGCGTTAGTAGTCAGTCATCTCTCAAATCACCACCATGTTGAAACAGGCAAACCTTCTACCTTGGCTTATCTACCCCTGATTTGGGCTTCCTATCCCCAGTCACCTGCAGGGAAGGAAGTCCTGCCTCAGCACTATCCTGTTGTGCAATATTGTGCAAATTTAGCACTATCCTGTTGTGCAATATTGTGCAAATCTAGCACTATTCTATTGTGTGCAATATGAAAGCACCTTGGCACCAAACCTGTTTAACCAAACAAACCATAACCAGCTTTTCTAGCTATACTGTAAACAGCTATACACTAGCAACAGAAATTTCCATTCTTAACAACTTTCAGGAGCAATTTCTTTGACGAGAATCAATTCAAGAGATAGAGAAGCTGCACAATCTGTGCTGAACACCACACTGATATGTTCAAGACACAATACTGGTAATTATGAATTCCTTGACTTACGTCCCCACTGTAGTCATAATAACCCTCCTCTGCCTGGTGGTGATCATGAGACAAACTCAACCCACGACGATGCATATGGGCCTCTTTCTCATGGAAACTACCATTCTGGGAACAGTAAAACCAAAACAAATTTTAATGGGTTGTAAAAAGTACATAGACTGTAACAATAAGAAATAACGAATTTGTGAGGATCATACAACATGCAAATAAAGAGCATCATCATTCCCCATTCATTATAGAAGGAATGACAAGCTTGCAGTTCATATGGCAGCTGCTAGGGTACCTGTCTGTGTCTGTCTGTCCCCTCAATGCTGGCTGCTCTGGTCCTGGGTAGGGCCTGCCTGGTCAGCTGGCCCCCGTGTCCTGCACACACTGGATGTCCCTGCCCTCCTGGAGGATATGCCTGCCCACCCGAGGGATACCCCTGCTCCCCTGGGGGTGCGGATCTCCTCCCCGGGGAGGGGGGCATGTTTGTTGCCTGGTGATTCTGCATGAACTGGATCAGCTCCTGAGCGATCTTCCGGACATTCTGTTTCTCCTGTTCTGTGTGCCCTGCCTCCTCTCGACGCTTCTTCGAGGTGCGAAGCTGCTGGTTCCGGTACATCCGGGCAGCGTTGTCCTGTGTGGGCAACTCTGTCAGCTGTTTGGGCGGGGAGAGGGTCATGTCTGTTGGGGACATGTTGTTCCTCCTCTTCCCTCCATTTATCCCCACGTCTGCATCCCGGAGAGTCTCTGCCTCCAGGACAGAGCAGGCAGGAGCTGACAGGCGCTGTGATTGGCTGATATCTGTTGGTTGCCTGGACGACGGTGTGCCTGTGCTGGGACTCAGCGCCCGGCTGATGTCAGTGACTGTGCCTCCGGCAGACATGTGGACATGCTTTCCACTGTTCACCCTCCTGCGGTACATTCCTGATGAATCATCTCTCCTTCCCGGTCCCCCCAGCAGGGCCGACACAGACGGCTTGAAGGTGTTCCACAGAGAACTGACAGACGACATGAAGGTGAGCGAGCGTTTCCTCAGTCTTGCCGGTTTCCCGGTGGGCTCATCCTCCCCCTGGCAGATGTTTTCCAGACTGCGAACCCTGCTGGAGGCAGCAGAGTCGGGTGTGTGCTCCCCCAGCTCTGGAGACGACTCTCCAGCCTTGATCATCACGTGCTCGAACTCTGGCAAGCTCTTGGACTTCTTGATCCCCTTGATGGTTGGGCTCCTTCCTCGGGCAGTGATCTTTATGTTGGAAAACTCCTGTGCAATTTCAGGTGCGTTGTTCTCCGTGTGGGTGAGGTGTTGTGGTGAATCAGGATCCTTACTTTGCCTTCTGATCGACTTCAGCGATGATCTCTTCTTAACCTGCTTGGTTGGGCTGAGAACAGGAGCTGCCATATTTACTATGTCTTGCCTCAGCTGCTGGCCAGGAGGCTGGAGCTTACGGTTGAACACATTCCTGCGAGCAGGGGGGGTGGGGGGCCCCGGGACCGACGATGCTCGCTTTAGTCTTTGTACCAGTGGAGTGGGAATCTCGCTGATCAGCAGGACCTCGTCGTCACTGTCTGGGTCGCTGCTGTCCACGCTCAGTGGGCTAGTGCTGCAGGCGCTGCTCTGTCTGCCGTGGGAAACCAGCTGGGATGGTTGCGGCTGACTGCTACTGTAGTGTGACTGGGACGGCTGCAGCTGGCTGCCACTGCGGGGTGCTTGGGAAGGCTGTAGCTGGCTCGCGCTATGGCTCTCTGTCAAGTTTATAACATCTGCTTCAGTCAGTGAGTTGGAGCGATGAACTGTGACGCCCTGGCCAGAGGGAAGCAGGCTGCTGCTTGTTCTGTGAGGCAGTGTCTGGTACCTACGCCTGTTACCACGACGATGTGAAGAATGTGGAGACTTGTGCTGAGACCTTGTCTGTCCTGAGTGAGATGCACTGTGGCTGTTTAACTGTCCCTCCATCCCCGTGTTCCCATCTCTCCTGTACATGGTGTGAGAGGGGGCAGTGTGTTGGAAGTCTTGCACATTGTGGGGGTTGTACTGCACATTCTGTGACTCAGCTGAGTTGGGGCGATACTTGGTTGCCTCCTGCAGGTGGTGAGGCTGTGCCGGGCCGTTTCTGTTGTATTGCACTGCCCCGGTCTCCAAACCCATCTGGTTGTTGTTGTTGTTGTTGGACCTTTGACGAGATGGCTGTGGGATGCGTGTCTGTCGTGGAGTAGAGTTCTGACTGGAACTGGAACTCCCCCCTGACCCTGTCCGTGACCTCGGGCGGTGCTTGCCTGCGGGTTGAGGAGGAGTCTTGGTTGCCATGGAGATAGCGGAGGTTCCCATGCGGAGGAGGGCTTCACTGCGGAGGTTCTGCCTGCTGAGGTCCAGCTCGATATGTGGGCGCTGCCTGTAGCTGGTGGGGTTCACACCGACAGCAGGGTAGAACGTTCTGGCAACTGTAGGGGGAACAGATCAGGCATGGTCTGAGAGCAGTAACTTATCTCAAACACAAGTAAACACTGGTCAGTTTGTTATGTTGCAAGTTTGAAAATGACACGTGGGGAGTCTTACGGGGGTGGTCGGCAGGCATGAGGTATCTCATCCCCAGGGTCCGGGCCAGGAAGGGGTGCACGGCTGCCTGCGCTGGGGTCATTCTGTCCCCTGGGGAGAAGCAACAAAACAATGTGTAAACAACAAAACAATGTGTCACAAATAACACAACAATGAATCACAACAACTTTCCAAGGGCTGAATGACTGCCATTATGAACTCTTAAAATTCAGCCCCTGGCCTCAAAGAGAAAGTAGTCAATCCTATATTTGGAAGGGGGTACTTACTGGGGTCGTACTTGAGCAGCCCTGCCAGGAAGCTGGCAAAGTGGAAGTCCCTGATGTTGTCCAGCTCTCCCATCAGTCTGTTGATCACTAAGAATAAGAAGCAAAAATTGTTATTCAACCATTGCTTGTTTCTTGGTTGTTTAAGTTCCCATAGTAGTTGGTTAAGTTCCCATAGTAGTTGGTTAAGTTCCCATAGTTTTGTCATGAGTCTACAGCAGTTATCAAACGACATTAAAAAATCACTGGCAATTGCAGATTTCTGGTGTATTTCCAAGTGTAAAGTGAGCAGGGCTAGCTAACTTAGCTGACTGTATTTTACACAACAAAAAGCTAAAAAAATGAATGAATGAATTAACGAATGATGTTGGTAGAAGAAAGGAAAGTCCTTACCTGTTTGCTCTGGCAGAGGCCCGTGCACACTGACAAACTCTCTCAGCTCTGGAAAAAACTTTCCCTCCTCAAATGGGTGGAGTGGGAAAGGTCCCAGGATGCCTGTCATCTGGGGTAACAAACAGAAATCAGTACTCTATAGATAATGGCAAAGGTTGAGACACAGTATCTCCATAAGCTTCAATATCTGTTGTAGTGTGTAACTCAATAGCAAGTGTGATTTATCTCATATTTCATCAGCAAAACATTTCAGTTAGAAACAAGTAAGGCAATGATCTGAATTTACAAACCTCTATGCCCAAATTGTTAAACCCAAAAATGTTTAGCATTTGCTTAATTGATACATTTTTACACTTTCTGTAATCACAACATGTAATATTGTATGATTTATGTTCTAAAAATACATACTTTGCAATGTCAAAAAAACACAGATGAAAACTTTATCTTCAAGGAAAAATGGAAGTCTTTGAACGTATTATTTGATCCTGAATGCTTACCCTACCTAAACAGAGCATATAGGAAAGTAGTAGCACATTAGGAAAGAAAATACAGAACTTGCAATACACATGTAATAACACAATAAAAGTTGACCAACCTTTATCATAATTTCCCTTTTGCTCATTCCAAAGAAAAGTGGCTTTCCTATATATAACTGAGTAAACAAATAATAGATAATGAATAAACAGTAGCAAGAGCTCAAATGTACAGTAACAACTATGGAATGCTGAAGCAATCAGTCCAAATGTATGCAATCACAAGAATGTTGACATCAAGCTACACTAAGTGTAGTGAAAGTAATGACACACAAAGCTGTGTAGTAAAAGTGATGGTACCGACCTCAGCTAGGATACATCCCAAAGACCACATGTCGATCTCCAGGGCAAAGTTTGGCAGCCCCATCATCACCTATACCATCAACAGACAAACAAAACCAATAAACATATAGAATCCAATGGCTCAGTCAAGTATCTCTACGAGTGTGAGTCATGCTCATGCTAAGAAGGCTTCATTTAGCAATGACTGTCACTCTTCCACAGGTACATGTTGTGCATTTGTACCACCATGCAGCTATATCTAGAACTTCATGCAGAATGGATGATGAAAAGCACAAGCTCACCTCAGGGGCCCTGTAGAGCAGCGTCTGCAGTTCAAAGTCGTCGTAGTACAGCGAGATCTCCTCTGGCACCGAATGGATCGCATTTCCAAAGTCTATGACCTTCACACTGTCAAGGTCACCTGAAGCAGATCACAACACATACAAATGTGTGACATTAAAGTATTTGCTGAGGGTTTTTGTCACATTGCTGTTTAGAAGCATCCCTATTGACACACTAACTTCATTTCCCAAATGTTCAGCCTATAAAAACCTTACCTGATACTGCTAACACGTTCTCTGGCTTCAGGTCTGCATGGATCACGTTACCTCTGCAGGGAGAATAGCACCAGGCATCAGGACATATTACTAACACAGTGATGGCAGCTTCCACTATTGCAATAGCTATTATATATATATATATATATATATATATATATATATATGAAAAATGAGGAATATATTCACTTGAGTATTTATATAACTTCACAACTACAGAAACTAATCAAAGGGAGAACTCAGCAAAAACTTTCCCTCACACCTGCAGGACAGAAATGAGCTGAGAGTTCCTAACTCACCTGAGTAAGAACCCCAGCACCTGCAGCAGCTGGATCGCAACCTTCTTTATCATGGCCAGTTTCTGTAACAGCAAGAATAAACAGTGGATTTGAACAAGAACAAAAAAGCAACATTTCTCTGACTTTTCACACTAACACTAACAATAATGTTTGCTATGGCTGCCCATGGCAAAGGACATGTTTTCAACAGCTGATCTCACATGCATATAACCAGTGTTTATTACTCCTGACTGATACTAGGCATGGGTGACCAGATGTGTAGTATAGATGTGTATTACAGATGTGTAATATGTGTACAGGTATGTAGGACTGGTGCACAGGAGGGTAGAATGTTACTTCCTCAGGTGTTGGAGTTTCCTCAAGTAGTGGTGAAAGGGGGTGGGGTTAGGGTGTACGAGTGTGTAGGACAGGTGTGTAGGACAGGTGTACAGGTGTGTAGTATAGGTGTACAGGGGTGTTTGACAGGTATATGTTACCTCCTCAGGTGAGTGGAGTTTCCTGAAGTAGTGGTGCAGGGGGGTGGGGTTCAGCAGCTCGAACACCATGCAGTAGTGCTCGTCAAATGTGAAGAAATTCTGAAGAACAAAAATATACAACGTCATTGCTTTGGTCTTTGAAGTACTAGGAAATCATCCACTAGTCTAACTGTTCACACATCGTACACAGTTCCTGTCAAAAACATTCAACTAGAATGCTTCAACACTATTTTTCTATAACTACAGGCTGCATTTCAACATCACACATTACGGCAAAACTGCTAGATGTCTCTTTTGTAGTTTTAGTACAACTACTAACTGAAAGCACATAATGCCAAAATGTTGAAAGCCTTCATTTCAGCCTGAAGGTTGAGACCACCTAAGGCTGATCACACAAAACTGTTTGCCTGAAACAAGAAACTGGTAGAGTTCTGTTTACTGACCAGTAGTCGGACACATCTGGAGATGTCCTCAGGATCGACCAGGTTCAGCCTTCTGATACAGTCTGCTTCCTGAACAGCACAACAAGCAATCAATACATCAGTCATACTGCTCATTCATCAACGGGCTTCACAGCTTAACACTGACTTGCCCTGATTATTACAGTACTGTGAAGTACACAAGGTGGTTTTATTATGTTAGTCAAACCTGTACTGATGAACACCTGACCACTGTGGCCACTTTTGATTTCACTATACTTCAACATAATTGAATACATAAAAAAACACTTTAAACATTAACTTTTATGGATATCAGAAACACTGTGCTTCAGTCCAACATTACTTCACACCTGGAGAGCAGGTAGGCTAGTAACCAAGGGCGTGGCACTCACCTGGTATCCAAGGGCATGGTAGTTGACGTGGAGAATCTTGATGGAGACCAGGTTGTTATCTCGACGGAAAGTATCCTAGGAAACAGATGAACACCAGACCTTAAAAACAATCTTTGCTGTAACGTCATGCTGTAACAAGTTGCTGATATGTCTCAGTGCATCTGTACTGTATCTGTACTCAAGCTTTTGGGTCGAAGTTTTTATATATTGCAAATCTTGAAATGTTTATGGTGGTTTCATTTTCATGGGGTCCCCTCCACCATGAATTCAAGACAACCAATATCTCACTCCTGCACTACATAACTGTATCAACAGTTAACTGTTAACAATTAACACCTTGAAAATTTCCTTTCTCCCTCTAGTAAAGTAGGTCCCTTGTATGTTTAAGTCAATTTGATGTAGGCTTCAGTAAAGGTTGGTTTCTATCGCTTCATTTTCTGTCCACATAAATAACATTTTGCTCTCAGGCAATTTAAGACTGAATTCCTGTATATGGCAATGTTTGGGATTAGTGTGTTACTGATCTGTGCAGGCTGTCCTGATGAGGTGGTCCCTGGAACTGGTCCGACATTTCAGCCGGCAAAACTACAGAAACAATCAGGAATCATTGATGCTACAACACAGGAATCAGTTGCAGTCAGACGTAATTAGCACTACATCGAGTCCTTCAGCAAGACGACAAGAACTACATCCAGGGACGGGCTAATCACATCGAGAAACTGATGATACATCAGGGCTAATCATTTTGCAGTTAAAGCCACTGTCTCTCTGGTCAGGCCTTTATTTGATGATTCTATGGTCTGATCAGTGGTAATTAGCCTAACGATGCAAATAAGGGATACGCTTCAAGGTCGTGTTAAAAGAAGCCATGTCAGTCGTGAAGCAGGTGTTGCCATGGGAACAAATTGCATCATCTTCTGTTCCCGAATGCCGGAGAGACACGTGCTGTCTGTAAACTTGCACACAAACATCGTTATCTGCAGGCGAGGGGCTAACAAGGTGAAGTAATGGGACCCAACAGGCTGGAAAATTGGTTTACAGCATCAGGCAGTGTTGTGTATTATGTGCAGTTAATGAACACATCTGGGATTATCATGGTAAAGGGAGGAGACTTGTTCAACCTTGTACTCAGCAGTTTTAGTTCTGGGGACAGTTAAGGCGATACTTGTAATCTTGGTACAATGGAGGGATTGCAAAACAAAGAGATGGCCTCATCGAGGACTCAAAATACCCACATGCAAACTGTAATCTGTAGGAAATTGCTGGAAAATACATTAACAACTTGCAGCTATGCAGAATAAAAAGCAGGCTTGGTAATATTAATCACACGGGAAACACAACCAAAAAAGTATTATAGAGACAATAAAACAGTGAAACGTCCCTACCTGAGCCTTGAGTAGTGCTTGTGATCTACTTATGTATGTACAGATTTATGGTATGATTGTTAAATCAGAGGAAAATCCTAACCTCAAGTTTGAGTCCTTCCATACAGTTTTGTCATGAATGATCATCTATGTATAGATTTATGTTAAGATTGATATACAGTTGATAAGAATTCCTTACCTCAGCTTTAAGCAGCACTGAGGAGTTGCCTTTCCCGAGGATCTCCAGGTATCGATAACGGCTGGCAAGTAGTGGCACTGTAGGGGAAACACAACTGGGTCAGAATCAACCATATGTGCGGTCATCACTGCAAAAATGGTGGAAAATCTGCCAGGGATACGTCATTTACATGTATCACAAGTCTTCATGCAATGATCAGTCTGCCTATGTGGCCGATGTCTGCAATTTTTTTCATCTAAAGAAGTTGGTGGATAAGAGATGCTAGTGTGGATGGGCTTCCTTTAGATGACTGGGATTGGGAGGGCTTTCAAGGAAGTACTGGCAACATTTTTTTTTTCATTGCATGTAACCAGATTTCTTTATTGAGTATGCAGACTGCTACAATTGACACTTCATTGCAAAGAATCCTTTTCCTGCACACATCATTGGTTACCAAGGCAACCACACATCAGTCAGCTGGGATAAGCGTGCCATCTCTGGCCAGTAGCAAATCCCTGTCCTGAGAACGGGGTCATGCGAGGTCGGCGCCTGCGCAGGGCTGGACAGAATGGACAATCTCAGGATTGCATCATCTGTACTTCACACAAAGGGATGGAAGAAAGCTTCTCATCCTTCTTCCTCCAACCTCTATGTTAGATCAATAAATAGTCTATATCATATCTCTGGAACTGGAACTTGCCTGCAGCATCCTCCTGTCACTGCAGCCGACAGAACAGGTGTGAATCTGAGAACTCCTAATTACCAGTACAGGAAACAAGATCATTAACTACATCCCCTCAAGTATCACAAAAGGGAGGAAGAGAAGAAAACATGATGCTTGAGGTATCCTTGTCTTTGAAGAAAAGAAGAAAGGCCAAGCTACAGTAACAACCATTTAGGGTATTTTCATCTATCTACAAGCAGCTTTTCTATGCTCTCTAAAGGTCCATATTGTGTCCATGAATGTAGATGGTGTCCTCCACCCACCATTCCTTGTATCCCTCCACCTGACAGTCTGGCTGCAGCCTGTTATCAGCAGAACTGCCTAGTAAGCGACTCCTTTGGTCACCAAAACAATAAAAATCCAACCCACAAAATTTAACTCTTGCCATCTTTATCTTTTGTCATACTAACATACTTATACTATATAGAAGTTGAAAAGAAAAAAAATTCTAAATGCTAAACATTCTAATCAGTGGTGTGTTGCTACGAGATAATGATTTGTTCATAAATATCTATTCTGTTTTCTTGGTAAAGTCTGGTCACTGCTTCCAGTGAAGCACTGGTAAGTAATCACAGCAAAACAATCATGAATATGAAATACAACTGAAAAAAGGGCCTTCTATAAGCCAGAGATTTTAATCGGTGTGGCCTGGCCACGAGGGGAGCCGGCACGTGTTTGTGTTCTCCTATTTAATAATAGATGTGTAGATGTGACGTCCGTGGTGTCCACGGAACTGGACCAGACTGGCCGCGTCCTCACTTGACGTTCTTTTCCACCTGCACTTTCTTCAAAAAGAACCAACTGGCAACAAACCTGACCTTTTCAGGTCTTGTAATACAAGTTGGTTGTTGAAAAGTACTTCAAACTCTGCATGTTAGGTATGAAGATGTACCACCAGTACAACTACCTGGTTGGATGCTGTAAATCTTGAAATGTTTGTGTCAGCATTATTTTCAAAATTTTTTACTGTGACCTCTACACCACTTTACTACAGAATTGCGTCAACTGCAAACGTAAAATGCTGGTAAAATCTCCTTTTCCCTTAGTTTTACCACTAAATTAAATCCCAGTGAAAATAAATGGATTTACAGTACACAAGGACAGTCCAGTGTTGTGCAGACGTTACTGCATTACGTGTCCAATGATGCAACATCTGTATGTTCTCCTTTATTGTACAAGAATCTTTTTATGTCGCGTCTCGTGTGGTGTCCAGGAAACTAGGACATTCCGCTGGCGCCCACACAAGTCTGTGCACCTGCGCTCTCCTACAGGAAAGTAGCCGACACTGTGGCGACATAATAGTGCATGTGGAATGTGTGCTGTTAGGCAGGCGCGGGATGTCACACAGGGACGCTGGCCATTTGATCCACGGACAGTGCAGGGATGTTTCTGTTCTAAGCTCTCTCTCTCTCTCCCTCTTCATGTATATATATGGAGAGAGAGAGCTTAGAACAGAACACATATCCGTCTAATATACACATGTATTTTTCATGATTCCCAGTTACAAAACTGGCACCTTCTTTGCCACAGGCAAGAGTGAGATGGTCATAAGACTCATATACATTCTTTAGCAAAAGAGATTAGTGTTTTGTCTGTCTACTTTCTCACAACAATACAGCTCGTGATGAGGTGTCCACAAAAACAGACCATAGCCCACTTCACCATGATATTTTCATTACACATTAGCATAAAGATTTTCATCAGTTGGCTAGGTGGTCAGTGGTGAAAATATCCCTAGATTTTGCAGACTGCAGATCAAGCAGTATAAGATGTTTCCTTGTCGTGATCTCCAACATTATCAAGACATTGACTTGAATAAAAACAAAGCGCTAACACTACAAGGAGATGCCAGTTTGATAACTAGGACTACACCATCCATGTGTACTTTAGATATCTATGTCATCACATAATATATATACAAGTATAACATCCCTACAATGTCCAGGAAACTGGAGCAGGTGGCCGGTGCCCTTCGTGTGACATCATCGCGCCTGCGCTACTGGACACAAACGCCTCGTACCGTTCCCACAATCTCTTAAGATCCCAATTAACCCCATCCTGATGCCATGCAATTAAGGACAGGATGGTCATCCAATTGTCTAAAGTGACACTAAGGCCCATGTCACATTAATTGTGGTGACACTGGTCATAGGGAGTAACACACAAAACAAGACATTTCTACACAGATGACCTTCACCCAAGGCGAGGTCGACAACGGCTGACCAAATAAGGAAAGTCACGATAAAGTTCACATTAAAAAACTTAAAACCCTCTGCGCAGCGCAATCAGCGTAGTCAGTTTGCCATCGTGCTCGAGACTGCGCGTGTGACTTGGAGCTTCGCCAACACCTGAGCCTCCCACGACATCCCAGTAAGGTACGCACTACTGTTATACATGAGCAGTAAAACCTGTCTGTAGTGACCACTCATGCTGTAGTCATGGGATGTGAAGGAAATGGTCACAATAGACAGGTGGCCACTAGAGACAGGATACCCAATGCTTTGGCGAATGGGAAAAATATGGGATTGCAAAAAAATGGCCACAATAGCCAGATAGTCTGTATGCAGAGGTGGTCAGTCGTACAGGCCCGGTGGTTTGACTGTGTATCAATGGCTGGGTGGTCCTTAGGCAAAGATTGTCACTAGTATACAGTAGGTATGACGGTATGTCAATTGCCAGGTGGTCCCTATGTAGGGGTAGTCACTAGTGCATGTTTGACTGTATATCGATGGCTAAGTTGTCCTTATGCAGAGGTGATCACTTGTACAGTACAGCTTTGACTATAGTCATAAAATTCTCTCTTTTTGAAGCCATAAATCTAGTCTTTATCCATGGGTGCCCATCTTTGTATCATGAATAAAGGCATGCGACTGTTGAAGGATTCGGAACGGTGTTGAAGAGACAGGCATGCTGACCTGAGCCAAAGCTTGTTGCAAGATATAATAGTGGACTTCAGGCATTTTAATAACAGCTATTTGACACAGGTGGATATGGCCTGACTGGACAAAATATCACCATAAAATATTCATGTCAGAGTAGCCAGGTACGTCTGTGTTATTATGTGTGGTCAGCGGTCGCCATGGAAACAAATGGTTGTCCAGGAGGAGAATGTTCCCCCTGGGACCAAGGCTTCAGGTGTGGTTTCACCTCTGCAATGTTCTGCAATATCAGAGTCGAGGGAAAATTAGTAGAATTCAGGAGACTTGGTTCATACACCACCACCCCTCCTCGCCCGCAGTCGTGCATTAAGTTTATTTCGTCAGAAACTTGCTGTGTCTGTTCCATGGGTAATGCTGTCCACTCCACTCTATCCCTTTCATAGGATTAGGTAACCCTGCTGGCAAAAGAATGTCATCAAAGGCTAGTCTATGAGTTGGGAACCAGTTATGGCCACCACACGTCAGTGCATTTATATCGATAATCAAGGTAGAATCGCTAGTAGTGCTCTAGGTGTGGTCCAGACCTTGGGCGTGACATGAAAACGGTCAATCCCCTGGCTCTAAGGGGCAAATTAGTGTTCAGAGCACCAATGTAAAATCAAACCTTTGAGTAGCTTTTAGTACAATGTGCAATGGATTATGTATAAGTCAACAATTTTGTATAAGTCATACTAGTACCTATAGGACCGTGTACACATTTACTGGACAAACTGAGTCAAATAATTACATTAAATGTTTTTGCTATGTACTACTAACGTTACTAAACTGTAGATGTTGCTGATATGGAGTAATTTTCATTATCAAGTGCAAACCAGCTCAACTGCATTGTACATTCTACAGCAAATCGCAGGGCGTTTCTACCAAACAGGATTTGTTGTGGAGCGCAGAACACAGCAACACGTAACGGCAGGTTGTGTCCTTCCCACGCGATCCAACCGTTCTTAGATTTCCGTCTTATATTGATTTATAGACACGCCACCTAAGTGAAGGGAATGAGGCTGTTTAAGATGTTCTCCTGTCACGCACCTCGGAGAGCTGACGATGGAGAAACACGAACAACGTCTTCATTCTTTAGTCTTGATTATTCATTCCCTTTGATTGATTCATGGTGACCATTCTGGGATTAGAACATGCATCCACTGTTTACCCTTCTCTATATATCACCATGGGTCTGGTGCACACACGATATTTCTCCTAAATAAAGAACATTTCTAAGGCTATGTGGATTTTATTACTTGTTTCCCATAATTTCCTGCATCAAAAGTATATGATACATACAGCTCAAGAGTACCAGTTTCTTAAGAGTTTAGTAGTGAAGTTTTCCCTATCTTGCTAGGAGCCCCTTTGCAACTCTACTGGAACCCCAGTTTGCTGATATGCCAGTATCGGACCAGTTTCTGTAGCTACTTTTAGCACCTTTTGTCAACAACAAGCGTGGAATCTGCTTGACTCTGCACAGCTTATGTAGGTATCATTACAGGATTTCTTCCATCACTCTGTTCAAGGGCCATGATTCCTGCTCCAGGGCCAAGATTTTGGTACATCTTGAACTTGTCTCAGCCTTAAGCAGACATCAAAAGAACCCTTCCTCCTGTACATCTCCAGGTACAGCTGTGGCACTATCCCATAGCTTACACAAGTTACACCATGTGGCTGTGGCAGTCTCGTATAGCTTATACCAAAACACTGTGTCTATGTCAGCCTTTCAAGTTTGATTACAGTTTTGTGCCCCTAGTCCTTCTGAACTAGACAAGATGATCTGTCGGTCGGAGTATAATTAGACCACCAGTGTGGTTGATTTGGGGCTTCCAGTGTCTCTTCTCTACTGCACGTACACAATATAGGCCCATCCAACATAAATGTGTGTAGGCCTTACTTTTTCATCTAGCACTACACCTATATGACAAGTCTTTGCAACAGGTAATAAGAGTTGATATGCCCCAATGTACCGGGACTGAAGCATCACAATTCTCTTTATCAGCTGTCAAAAGCAGCACAATCTGCCCAATTAGTATTAAAAATTGTGCAACATAGAAACCATTCATTCAAAACAATGGTAGATGCTTAACCTTCACCCTGCCGAGGCAAGCTGTTGTTTCCTGAAGTTGTGCTAGTTATTATATAAATATAATTCGGTTAGGCAGCATGGAGAGGGTGAAATATACTCCCTTCCCCTGAATGTGCCCCCATCCCCTGAACCTCCATCCTTACCTGCCTACACAACCTGTTCAGTTCTCAGCACAAGAATTTTCTGAGCAAACAGCAAACAAAAGAGTGGAATGGACTTACTGGACTCCTCTGGCACGAAGCATCCTGAGTTGTCTGTGTAGGCCCCGAACTCTGCAACACAACAGGCCACCACAATCAGCACACATGGCCCTACTCATTCTGTAAAATGGCTATAGTGTATGTTACCATTATCATTTCAAACTATTTGTATTTGTAACAAATTATCTGTATCTGTATAGCCACCCATCGGAACAACACACCAGATTTGCAGGCACGCGGTACTGCAGCAGCTGGCTATATTACACAGAATGACATGTCACACCTAACATTTGCACATCTAACTGCAAGCATTCAACGCTTTCTAGTGATGATGCCACTACTGTACTTGGTGGCAACGAGTTCCACTCAACGATTGTTCTAGGAAAAATTAACTTTAGAATGCCTCAATCCTGAGTTGGTAATTCTAATACTTGAAACGGGAGTTTTTACCGTGGTCATTTCGTATCGTCCTGTTCTTGCTGAGTGAGATTTTCTTGTAGAGTGTCCTCAGCCCCCCTGTGGTGTAGGCAGTGGAGTGGACCTTGGGTGGCTGGATACGCACCAGGGTAGTGCTGGGTCTGCCGATCAATCAATCAATCAATCAATCAATCAATCAATCAATCAATCAATCAATCAATCAATCAATATTTACTTAAAATCAACATTGCAGAAAAAAAAACATGTACCACTTTTTCACATTAATGGTTTCTATATACTAGTACAATATTGACAATATTTCTGTCAACAATGCAAAAACAGTAAAACAATTTGCATACACATCCCAATGGAATTCACTCAGGGTAAATTCCACCTGTTGTTGCCTGGTCCCTGTACTTTGTGTTGACTCAGTAAAGCTTTTTACAGTATACATGTATTAAATAAATAAATGGGACCTGGAACATTTTAGGTTAATTAAATCTGACAACCTGGTTTCCTCCCTGGAGAGGTGTGTGTAGCCTGCTGCTGCCTGGTACCCAGCCAAGTATAGCAGCAACCATTGGGAAGGAGACCAATGTTGGAGGCTGGATACCAGGTTAGAACTTGCTGGTGTGTAATTACAGGTGTTTGTAGCCCCCGGAACCCAGCCGTGTACAGCTCAAGGTTTGCCTACAGGGAGGCACAGCAGGTCTTTGTCAGACTTCAATCAGGATTTCACAGAGCCTGAACCAGGGTGTCACAAGGCTGGACTGGCTCCAAAAGCTACATTATTCCCTTTCTGATGGGAATTCCAAAGGGACTCCAGGAGTGGGACACAAAATGACAAGTCTGGACTTGTAGGGGAGAAAAGAGCAGTACATTGTTGGGTCAGCCATCTGCTGCTGTATTAGATTTAGAAGGGCTCATTTTGTTCTAAAAACAATAATATTATATAACCACAGAAAATGATGAAATGAGTTTCTACTACATCTAATTAGCAATGACCTCATTATGTTGTCATTTCCTTATCACAGCAAAGCAATAACTGTTCTGTATAAACAATCTGATTTCTTGTGCAAAATGTCCACATTCAGCTCTTAGCTAGGATTTCAGTCTACAAAAAAATCTAGACCTCATCATTTTAGCTGTCACATTGCCGCTACCATGGTTTATATTACACATGTACTTTTTCTGCATACCTAAACTGGTACAGTCACAGAAATGTATCACAGGTAACATTAATTTAAATACCTGGCACATGAAATTTCCTGAAACACTTATTACCTTGCCTTTTCCTTGTATACATATAATACAGTGACAGATCTAGAAGGATTTAAAGGTTGTCATGGTACCATTTGAATCTTGTAAACTCCAGGATGCTGTTTTTATCTTACTTTGACCATTGCAGGACAGGATTATTTCGATAACATATAACCTAACATTACCTGTACATGTCCTGAAGGAGGCCATATATATGTACCTGTCCTGATCACCTGTGGACTTACCTGTTGAGAAAGATGTGCGTTGTGGTCTGGTGACAAACACATAAGCTTCAACATTACACTAGACTTTGCCAGCCTGCAGAAAGCTCTGAATGTGCAACATGACGTACAGATTGAACAACACCATGGTTATTAATGCTACACACGTGCAGCTAGCCAGGTTATCCCCACTCCAGTGTAACAATGTTGATTATACACAATCCTTTTGTTCTGGCTTCCTGATGATGATAGGCTAAAGCTTCAGACAGACATGTTGATGCATTTTGTTTGTCTCATGTTCTGAGAAAAGGCAGGCATCACCAGGGTCAGACACTGGTGCTATAGTAGTGCAAGGTGCAAAAGTTATTTTGAAGACTGACCTGCTTCTATCAATATCACTGAAGTCAGTTGTCATAATGCCTGTCCATTCATTAACTCAGGTATATATCATGATGACACTGACAACATGTACATACATGTACATGACGTCCTGCCTCTGCATCCCACTCCCACCTGTAGCCATAGTCGGCCATATTGGCCAAAGTCGATCTGAGGTTGGAGTCATCTCTCCAGTCCAGGAACTTTACTAGTAGTAGTCACTCCAGTCTTTGTTTATTTGGGGTGGGGGACAGGTTTGGCACAACCTTGGGATGACTTGTTGATCAGAGGGTCCAAGGAAAGTTTGATTCATCATGGGTCATGGCCACACCTAACATGAGTGTTCCCGGTCAAGGACAGGTACAGGTCATGACCTGCAGTCGAGCACTGAACTTAAGTAACCTCTATTACCATGGCTACAGGGAACTGCACAACCAGAACATAGTCCACTACCAATCCTGGCCCAGTTCCAACCATAGGGGTCATAAGGTGTCATTGGAAACTACCTGACCCTGTTTCTAGGGATCTACTGTAATAAATAGGCTTGTTAATGTGTAACAATAATCATTGTCGTCCATAATGAGATCATTATGGCACAAGGAAGCTCTATTCTGCCTCCTTATTGTGCTACTGTATTGAAGTTGGCAGGCAGACATCACAAACTCATTTTGCCTAATTACAATACAAAGACAGATCCTGTACAGTACACTTAATTGTAGCAGCAGTCTCATGGCTCTCACCATAAATATGGAGCAAGGTCATGCTGTAGCTCTGGGGAACGTGAAACTTAAAAATAAGCAGCTTTGTTGCAAGGTGCTACCTCTAAAACTATAAAAATATGGTGCAGCAGTGCTATCAACTCACTGCTTGATCGAGTCCTGAGCAGTTAGCAAATAAGACCATTGTTGCCATCTCAAATATCGCTGGCTTCTGTCATGTTTATTTTGTCCCTTGTTTTTACCTGTCATCCCAGCCCAGGATACCTGGACAACAGGTCATTGACCCCTGGGGTGAACTTCCCAAAAACTACCTTGTGAGTGAGCAGCAAACTGCCCTGACCTTGAACCAAGGACACTCGTTTGGGCCAGAATGTACTAGTATTCTCCAAGAAACAAAGGTGTTGGTTACAGTGACTCTTGCCTACAGCATTACTTGCTATCTGGAGAAGGAAGCTTTTGTTTTGTAGGATCACAAATGACAACTCTATCTGTAACTGTGTGTGTGCATGTGTGTGCGTGTGTGTGTGTGTGCGAGCGTGTATATATAAGGCCAGTCCATTCTCAGCGCAGCCTCTCTCTTCACTTGTCACTGAACCAACAGTGTATGTTTACATTTTTTCATCTCATGAAAATGTAACCTTTTGGTACTAACCTACGCACAACAACTTCTCAACATTTTCTCCCAGAAACTGTAAGGCCACACCAATTTAATTTCTTGGTTCTCGGATTTTTTCAGAAAAAATATGAAGCGACAGGGCGAAAAAAAAATAACTAGAGTTCCACGATCTCAAACCTTCGCCAAATGATGTTAGCCTTTATGAATAAGAAATATAACGTTACTAATCACCCTGATTATGCAAATAGGATCCTCAATTGCATGAATTATATCAGTCTGTTGATCATATTATCCACCAAAAGACAGTCTTATCTTAACAAAGAATGCCATTTTCTCATAAATTATGCAAATGTGCTCCTTATTTGAATAAGTTATGTTTAATTATGTTCACCTTCACTTAACTTTCAAACACCCCAAGTATGAAATTCCAGGCAGTTACCACTACGCAATTATAACATTTTCTCATTAATTATGCAAATTAAGTCTTCATTTGCATAATC